CCGTACATTTTGTTATCGATTTGGTTAAAAGGGGTGCAAAAGCTTTTGGGACATCTGGCATTGGCAACCCTGACGGCTGAGCCCGTGCCAAGGCTACACCATCCTCACTCCCTCGCGTGCCACAGACATTCCAATCGCATAACAGAAACACATGTCCGTGTTTCTTAGAACCATGCATATAATTAGCTACGCCACTCATAAAGTCCTCAGCATACGTAAAAAAGACAAAATGTGTCTGAAGCTAAAGCTTTCCATGGATTATTTACAACAAAACTACTCTTCTTTTAATGAAACAACCAGGTATTCGTGATTTTTCAAATTAGAATTCAACATTACAGACGAATGCTGAAAACCTTTTATTAAAGAGTATTCACATTTAAGGCAACGTATATTATACTTGTGTAGACATAAAACTTAGGTGTTAATTTTGAACTTTGTCTATGTATGTTATATAATGCAGATAAACTTATTTCTGATAAACATAATCTATTCCTAATGTTGGTGAAAACTAGCGTCAAAACCATATGTAAGTGAAAATGCTATTACTATTATAAATGTTATATAAAAAAAACATAGGTATTCTCCAGAATTATTATAGCACACAACGTATACACCTTATTCCACATAATATTTACTTATCTCCACATATACTAGAAGTAAATAACATTATAATCTGTTATCAAATAAAAGTATGATTATAAATCTGAAACTTTGATCACGCAAATTTGAATCTTTGATATATTTCAAATTAATTTATTTTGCACAATATAATTTCACGTGTCGTTTAATTAGTCCAACAAAGGAAACTAAGAGTCTTTTAATTTTTCAATCTTTATCTAAAATGTCATTGAGAGAATTAGGATAAGTATACTTTGAAATTTTTAAAATTCCCCCGACTTACGAACAAATTCGACTTACTAACAACCATTTGGAACGGAACTAGTTCGTAAGTTGGGGATACCTGTATACGTAAATTTCTTCTCAACTAAAATAATGATTATAAATACATCGTGGGAAAGAACTACCAAAAAACACGCTGTTCTGTGAATAGCAATCAACTAGCTTAGCACCCCTACTTAAAACCATACGATAAAGATCGTTTTAATTCAATTAATCTTCTTAATGGTTTGTAAGGATCAGGAAGGACAATAGCGACGGGGGCGTTCTCCTTTTTTTTTTTGGCGAAAGTGAGTTTAATGAATTCTATCGCATTGCGGAGAGAGAAATTTCTGTTGCGAGGGTTGCACCGCGTCTAGACGTCGGTGGCGGGGGATGAATGAACTTGAACCAACCCCCTTTGCAGTTGCGCAGATTCGCACCCATACAGACTTTGCACAAAATAACATACAATTATTAAATTTCTTCTGTCTCCCCTTTGTTAACTACATATCTACAGCTACTATACAAGTAAATTAAAAAAGCTGAAAGAAATTTAATGTATCTGATTTTCAGCTCGTCTCGGTGGGATTAAAACCAGTTATCACATATAAAAATAAAACATATTATGCGCGAAAACCGTTTCCCTCATTGCGATCACGCAAAATGCACATATAATTGTCCAAAGAGTAAAAAAAATGATGGAAGATGATTGACTCGACGCTCAGAATATTAAGGTTGCCGCGAAATCTGGCATCTGTCACAGCATTTTTAATTGGCGAGACCTACATACCCAAATATGTAAATGCGTGCAAACTCAATGGAAAAATTACTCTAACTGTAAAATGTGTGTGTCTTTGAATAATCGATTGTTACTTGCGTTCTAAATTAAACCCGATGAACGGCTTAGCTGCATCAAAGACCCGTACCATAATTCAATTTAGAAACAAAACAAAAACGTAGTAGTGATGCGGGTCAAAGTACTCTCCTCCAATAATGCATACTTACATTAATATCGTAATTAGTGTTATTCAGTTTCTCCCATCGCGACATAACCAGGGTTGGGCCGATCGTAAATTTTGATGTTAGAAAGGCGAATATGGTGTGCCGGCATTCCTACAATTAATTTGGTATTCAACTTTAATGTAATAGTCATTTTGAAGATGGCAGAAGAAAATAATAATATTGTAAAAGGATGAACGCGTAATTGACCGTTTCGAACTGCTGATTCCTAAAGTAGTTCATATTATTTACTGCGATGAAAGCTAATTAATTGCAGCATTATTATTGGATGATATATTGCTGGCCGATTTTCTAATTAAATAAAATTATAATAACAGTAGTGTTATTTCCGTAAATTTCCTACAATGAAAACTTTCCATGCATTGGCACGGATGATAGACAAGCTAGTGAAATATTAAGAGTTTTCCTTTCTACTTGACCATCGACCATGATAAACTTCAGAATTTTGTATAATTTAAATGTGTGTTAAGAAAAAAATCGAAACATTTCTCTTAAAATATCTTTACATTTGTCTACGTATTTAATTATTATAGCCTTAAATTGCAACTACTCAACAAAGGATAATAAAATGTAATACATCTTATCTTTATAGATCTTATACATGCACATATTTTTTATATAATTATTTATATTTCAAACAATTTATCTTATTTCTTCCTTCCATGTATAATTTCTTAAATTTGATTGTACAAAATAAGTAATTTACAAAGACTATATTAATTCGATATATAATGTTTGTTCTATATTTTTTATGTAATATATTTCAAAATATACATTAAATTGACATGAATTCTAAAAATATTACTAATTATGAATGAAGTACGACGATAACAATTCAAAATGTAGTTTTAATTGTTATTTCCAATAATAGAAACAGTAATGGAATAATGAAAAGTCTATATTATTTCCATTTTCATGTTAGCTATAAGCAGAATTAATAGTTATTTTATGTACTTGAATGCGATATACGTCAATTCTAACTAAAAAAAACAAATAATATTAAGAATTTTACGGAATTCAGATTAACAAGTACTTTTTATAGTCGATTTTAAAAAAGAGATCAATAAAACAAATTGATTAAATAAATTTTGTTTTGGAATTGTTTTAAATACATTTGTTTCCATAATCTTGCTATATATTATGTCAATATAATTTTGATCTAGAAATCTGTAAAATCTAAAAAAATGCATTTGGACACTATACACATTTTATATATATTATCTGTAGTTGAATTACATTTTGAATTATAATTATATTTTATATTTCAATTACTTGCACAACAGTGCTCCCTTTTGCGATTTTTTTTATGCGGTATATGAAATCTAACCAATTCCAACGGCGTTGTCACCATTGTAATGTTTTTTTTATCCGTGTGCATATGTACAGCCTGCTCAAACCATTCTGCAAGTCGATTTTGAACCAATTCATCAAAAGAAGATGCGCGTTTTGGATTAACACGAGTACAATGAGAAATTAAATGTTTTCAATTTAATTATTTATTTTGTTTGGGTGCACTTTCATATGTATTTCGTAAATCTTTAACGTATTTTCTAAGTGCGATTTTTTTATGCGGTGGATAGGGATAGGTTTTACCGTATTTGTCAAATACTTGTATTAAAATATGTATAGAAAATATATTGTGATTAATAAAAAAAAGTAAATATGAATTAATAAAATATAATTAGCAAACTTACTATCATGTCATACATTATGTTTATAGTTATAAACTATTTGCATACATAAATATTATTGATTATTAGTGTTTTCAATGTAGAAATCTTCAACACCAACAGTTTTATAAAGATGTAATTAGAATACGTGATTTGATAAATAAAATTTTAGATTACTTGAACAAAATAAGTAATTTTCTAAATACTTATTTATAAATATTGAATATTCTTATATAATTAAATCAATTATTAATATCAGACTATTTCCGCAATATTGATATAAATAAGAGGATTTGAAAAGTTTACAAAATAAAATACTTTAAGAGCAAACGAATATTCCTGTTAGACACTAACAAGAAAAGTCAGTATAACAGGAAATTATTGTATTTATTTTAGTACCCGTTCTAACAAGTACATTAATGTCAACGATATTTACAAAATAAATGAACGTATGATGAAAACCCCAGTTCAAGTCGAGTTCATTTCTATTATAAGCAATCCATGAACTAATTTTCAACGGTGATAAGTTTGTCAAACAATAAATTACAAAAATCAAAGAACTTGGTGGAGCGCCGCTCGAAACAATAATATTAATCATAGCTATATGATACTTATTTCCTTGAAAACCAATTGGGAAAGATTTATGTATCACAAGTCATTCGGTTCAGATGAGTGTCGCCACGGAGACGATATCCATTTCATTAATAAATGAGGCGGGAATGTTTATGCTATTTGTCATCGTTAAATACGCGGATTGCGATCTATTTAATTATTGATAAAGGCACAGTGCGTAAACAATACAAACGCTTAATGGAATCGTATTTGAATCATCTGTAGAAGCTTTGATAGCATGTTTGTAGAATTGTAAACGACCGCAACTATTTAACTGTTTACAAAAGGTGTAATACGATTAACGTCGTTCAGTGCACACAAGAGCATTACCAAATGAGAAACGCATTTCGTAACTTCTGTTAGTTAAATAGGAGCCGTTATGAAATCGGGAACGCATTTGTTATGAAACAAACGACGTGCAGATTGATATATGCAAGTGTCAGTAAGTGCATAACAGGAAATGCGACTGATCGCATCGTCGAATTTCTCTCGTGTAAGGGTTTTCAGATGTAAACGCCCTAAAAAGAACTTGTTTAATGCTTGAAAACGTAGGAAGCCCAGAAAGCACCTGTCGTATGGGCGTTATAAGAATAAAGGTAAAAGTGAAACTTCCACTCCACCGGTCTCCCCCAAAACTTTATAAACAATCAAGCGTGCGTTTTTGTTTTCATTTCTAACCAACAAACCGGGATTAGAGGGAACGGAAATAAACAAATTGTTTGTTGGAGGATTACGGGAGATGCATGGACGGTGGATATCTCGAAGAGAGTGGTCGAGCGAGGTGTCCGGGGACGATGATTGTTCCTTAAGTTAATATACCTGCGATGACTGTGTCGCTTAGGTTGTACTTGACTTTCGGGAAATCCTTCAGCTTCCGGTTGCTCAATTTCAATTCACCACTTTGATTAGCGTCCTCTAAGATCCGCTCTAACGACTTGGTCAACTGATTCTGTATATGTCCACTTAAGTTTGACGCGAGCACAGCCATATTGCATGTTAACACCACAAACTAAACTCACTAACTGGCTGATTTGGGTTGAGTTGTTGTTAGTTCCATGAGCATGCCGATAGCGCGGCGTGGGCCAACAGCTGCTCCTTTATTTACCAATTCATCCTATAGGGTGCGCCACCTTACTACACATATTAGATTTAATTTTTTTTCTACATATTTTATCCTCATAAATAAAGTTAATGCGTTCCCAAACCACATACTAAATATGTAAATCACCAATGTTGAACGTATTATAAGTTTGAACTATATTCAAAAAGCTGTAGGTTAATGTTCTTGGTGTTCTCGTCTATCGAAATACCGACGTTCGAAATCCCGGCTGACTCAAAATCTTGACGTTCGAAATCCCGACTACCATAATCCCGACAATCAAAATTCAGACTATATCGAAATACTCTAATATCAGACAACAACCACAGAATAATACGGATTCTAATTAAAACTCCAATTTAGAGCAAGATTGCATTATATTCTTCAATCTACCGTCGAAAAAAAAAACTCTAATTGCATACTAACTATTCTGCCCGAGGTTCTTCCTACTACTATTGTCATCAGTCGCAAAAACCCCGGATCGAAATATCTTAGCACTGTTTTAAAGAACTTATCATATTTTCAAGTACTAAAATTGTGGCTGGCGAAATTGTGTTGGTTTGACACAGAAGACGAAATCACACCAGAAGTCATAGATTTAAACAGCCCCCAGCTTCTCAGACACTGACAAAATCAGAAAAATAGAAGGAGAATGAAGAATTACAATTAAGTTTCATGAACATAATTAATCAGAAAAAAAACATACTTGTACTTCTTTGCATTATTTTGTACTTTTTTTTACTTTATATTATAATTAAACTTGCACTTGCACTTCGACAGTTTTCGTGAGATACATTTCTAAAAGAAGTTAAATATATTTATAAAATATTCAGAAATGAGCAACAAACTTGGTTGAATTAAAGTTCTTACAGTTTAACCATTTGAAGGGCCAGAAATTCCCAAATTTCTAGACCCAACAATTTTCTAGACAATTAAATCAGACAGCTTCGTCAAGTGAATCAATGGTATGGTATCTACTATACAAATTCACCACTTGACATACCCATAAAATTAAAGGGTAATTCATATTTCCTGTACATTTAAATGGGAACGTTTTTTTCTAGTTATATTTGCAAAAAGAGTATAACCTAGGTTTTAAGCTTATCATTGCTTTAGAAGGATTAATTATAGTTGCAATATATTACTCATTCAACAATTTTTTTATTAGATTTTTTTGCTTGTATTAAAATACAAAATATGAAGCTAAAAATGTAGTGTATATGTCACGCTCATAATTAATCAATTAAATCACGTGCAATCACATGTAACATACTATGTATACGCGATGTCACCACAGTTTCCATTAATTTCTGCCACCAAATAAGCACCATTTGATCTATACAAATTCAAATTTAATTTACATAATTAGCATCATGAGTTCTTATCTTTCAATTTTATGAAATGACAATGCTTCCCTTGCATACAAATTTATTTTTCTAAATTTGTAACAATAAAATATAAATAGTAAGGATATTATTATTAAATAATAATAATAATTTATTGGCCAAACATTAATACATAAGAAAATAAAAGTACATTCTATACATATAAATAAATAAATTCTAACATAAAATATTAAAAAAAATATATTAATCGGCTGGCCAAAGACTACTGGCTAACAACTGAGGTCTCTCCGGCCGGGAACATAAATTTAATTATGGAATAATACAATATTGTAATAATATACAAATGAACAACAGAAGAATGAGTGAAGCAGCGTGTGTATCAATCGAGGGACATTAGGTATTGGAATAGGGATAATGTGGGATATTTAAATTTGGGAAGGATATTTGGGTTTCGAGGGACACATAATTTAGAGAGGGGGCTATGTTGGACTGTTTGGATTTAAATTTCATGGAGAGGGATAGGTATTGGTCGAGGAGTATTATTATTATTTTGTGAGAGTTTCTTGATGGCTCATATAATTTGTTCATATATTTCTCTAAATGTCCCATTAATTTTCTAATTCTAAGTAAATTTCTAATTATAATAATAATAATTTGTTGACCAGACAGAAAATATAAACAATAACAAAACAAAGTACATCCTATGAATATAATAATGATAATAATAACCAAATAACAATTCTAAATAAAATGTACATATAGCAAAATAAGAAAAGAGTGAGAAATAAAAAAAAACTGCAGCAAGGTTGGAACTAGGAGGGTCATTAGGTATTGGAAATATATATATAAATACAAAATATAACGTTTCACATTATCAGAACGCCATTCTTTTTTGTATGATTTTGTTGTTACAATTTATATTTTATTGTGTCTTTGGGCGGAAAGACTTAGGTCGATAGCCCTTTGCTTACAATTGGTGACTAATAAAGATTTTTTTTTATATATTTATTTTACAAAATATATTCATAATTAACAATAATAATAAACAAAGTTACATAATAAGTAATAAATTTCGATATAATCATTGGTGCGGGCATTTATAAAATTTCCAGTCAATATGTTCCCTTACATCATTTTTTAATAAAATATAATAAGAAATATTGAATATCTGTATTATCGATTAGAGACATTTCCGAACAGAATTTCAAATAAAAGAATTATTATATGAAATCGTGTTAATTTATCACTAATTTATCAAATGCCAATGCTTCCTTTGAATATAAATTTGTATTGTAAGTATTGCAGTTTTTTCTTAGTAACAATTTTTTCTACTGACTTCAACATACCTCCAGATAATTTGTAGAAAAAAAGTAATTTTTCAAAAATTCCAACAAAATTAAATTTAAATGGTAAGGGTACTGTAATTTGGGGATTTGCTGATAGCTCATATGATTTCTTCATGAATTGTTACACAAAAATCTGTTTTGATAATGGTTTCTTTTCTATTTTTAATTGTGATTCTATTTATTGTAAAAGTTGAAAATCGGCTAATAAATAAATTACGTGATGGTTTAATATTTGGTCCCTGCATTTGTCTCAGTTAACCTAATGTATTTTCTAATGGATTCTGATTAAAAGATTGGGTTGGGAAATAATTTAAATTCATTTTTTAAAATACTGTGTACATTTATAATTCCATTTAATGTTGTAGCAAAATGTCGTAATGTAGGTGGCACTTTAATTATTTAATTTCTATTGTTTACAAATTTCATACTTTTGAAAACTTCTCTGGCTTTATACCACAGTTCTAAATGTTTGGATTGCATTGTAACAGATCTTTTTAAATTTATATCTTTAGTTTTTAATGTGCCTAGATTAAAAATGTATCGAATAATTGATTTAGAAAACCACATAGTAAAGCTGTGCCCTTTGAATTTGTAGTAAATTATTTTCCATTTGGACATGATAAGTTCCCTAGTATCAGAACATACATCACTGTACTTACTGTCTGACTAAATACCTGAACTGCATAGGAATCTTTCATTTTTGGATTTTTTTTAGGATATATATGCCTTTCAGTAATTTTCTTCAACAATCTTCTTACAACCTCCCTTGGTGCATCAATGAAATATACAATGTTTAATATCCTCCCAACAGCCAGTAAAAGCATAACTATTCTTCCAGTAACTCCACATTCGTAGTAACTGTAGTCAATGGTGATAATTTGAAAATATGCAATAAGCATTTATAGCAGGATCTACTTTGCTTAAAAATACTTACAGCAAATAATTTGTCTTCTAAAAAATAATATTCTCCTCTAATTTTCTATCCAGTATTCTACAATTGGATTTAAAAAAAATGCACATTTTCATTTTATTTAATAATAATTAGCATTCTGCCTTATATTTTTGAAATAATATAGTCTATTTTGAAGTGTCTTCCTGCTACATATTTTCTTTATAATAATCCTTTTTAGTTTCCTAGTTTTTACATATACTCCTATATATAGGGATTTTCATTATTATTTACAATATTTGTATTTTTATCATCAACATCCTTTTGTTGAGCCTCTATTTCTATACTAATAATATTCACAGATATATTTGGTATATTGTACTTGAAAAAGTTCTACTTCTACTTCTTTTTTTTTATTTTCAAATTGTTCTCAATGAAGCATTAATTGTGGTAATTTTCCATTGCTCAAACTTTCAGCAATTAAAAAACTTCTCATCCTTCTCATCTTTATACCATGCCTTAAACACAAATTGTATGTTAATTAAAGCGTATAGTTAAAGTAATATTACTTACTTGTTTATTATTATATTCCTATAAATAAAAAAAAAACATTTATAGCGAAACACTAGCCAACATTGCTCAAGACTACCTTAGTACTATTTGACACAGTCATAAATGTTTTATTATCGCAAAGTTTGAAAATTTTTCGAATGGCTTCGATTGTTTGCGATTTCTTCTACTCTCCCTGCCGTGAAGAAATTGGTAGTGCCAACTGTCCTCAAATAACAATTCACTTTGGTCACCCTGCTAACCACCAATTGGACATAGTCATAAATGGAGCCATAAGCTTCAAATAAAATTATAATCATAAGAAGAATCCTACTTTACCGACTAAAAATTTGGTACCTCTGGATACGCCTATTATTTATACACTAAGAAATCTTATGCGAATCAAAAGTTGCATATACATTTGATGTTAGTGAGGCATGGTGAACGTGTATTTTTTACCAGATTCAGGAAGATTTTATAAATTAATATAAAATTTTAGCTAAAAGTCGTAATAAAAATGGTATTCTACTTTGAAAGTACTTTGGTTTCGCCGGCTGTCACACTCTTCATGGGTTTCGACAAACACGAAAGTAAGTTAATCTGCAACAAGTTGATAGAATGTAATACTTTCATATACTTTTTTTTAATAATAGATGAAGAGTTAATTCGATGGGGCTGGCCAGAAGATGTCTGGTTCCATGTAGATAAAGTATCATCTGCTCATGTTTACCTCAGGCTCCGACCAGTAACTATGCATTTGCATCTCAACCACTGTTGTTTCTCAACGATTAATATTTCAGGGACAGACAATTGATGATATTCCAGCTGCAGTCTTGGAAGATGCTGCACAATTAGTTAAAGCAAATAGTATAAATGGTAATAAGATGAATGACATTGACATAGTATATACAATGTGGGCAAATTTAAAGAAAACCCCTGGAATGGAAGTTGGACAGGTCGGATTCCATAAAGAGAAAGAAGTTAGGAAACTGAAAGTTTCCAAACGTGTGAATGATGCTGTTAATAGATTGAACAAAACCAAGAAAGAGGAAAATCCAGGTAAATTTATCTTAATTTCATATGAAGTAGCAATTTTAAACTATATATTTAAGATTTTCGAGCGGAACGTGAAAAGAGGGACAGAATGGAAAGAGAAGATAAGAAGAAAGTGTTGAGGGAAAAGGCAGATAAAGAAAAGGAGGAAGAGAAAAAGAAACGAGAGGAGTCTGAATTGAGAAGTTACAGTACCCTAATGAGCAACGATAATATGTCTAAATATGATGATGGAAATGATTCTGATGATTTTATGTAACTAATCAAAAATAATAAAGTGAATTTATATTTATTACTTTCGTTTAAAAATCAAAGCAGTTTAATATTAACTGCATTTAAGGCATCCACAATCCATTTAGGATAATCCTTTTCAGGAAATAAGTTAAGGAAATACTTTTGAACGAATTCAGGGAACGTTCCATTGGTAATGCTGTCTCTGATTGTCTTCATCAGACGCATTTGAAAGGCCACGTTATGTACAGATAGCAAGTGGCAAGCAACTGTTTGAACTGTAACAATCCCATGGAGGTAAGCTCTTGTATAAGTTTTGCAAGTGGAACATGTACAATTTTCGTCGATCGGTCTAAAATCTTTTTTGTAGTTTTTTTGTCTCAAGTTTAATTGTCCGGTCATTGTTAAGGCACAACCAAATCTCTAAAAAAAGAATTTGTTAATTTATGACGATTAAGATATTAAGATTATGTTACAGCTGTTCTTGTGGGGAAAACGCAGTCAAACATATCTACACCTAATGCGGAACAGACAACTAAATCCATAGCAAATCCGACTCCCATTAAGTATCTTGGTTTATCTTTAGGTAAAAGACCAGTTGACAAATGAACCATTTTCCAAAAATCATCTTTACTCTCTCCTCCACTAAAAAAAATCAAATGAAATATTTAAATTTTCACTTTTATTTGAATACCTTAATCCACCAATTGCAAACCCTCTCACATCTCTTCGTACATGATCTTTAGCACTTAATTCCCTTAAATCAGGGTATAATGTACCTTGAACTATTGGAAATATATTTTGGGTATTTGGGTTCTTGTGTGCTTTGATACATCTATCCAACCATCTAGTTGTCCTGTGTACAGACACTTCAATTCTATCTTTATCAGGACTTGTTGTCTTGATGACATCATCTAATTGCATAATAATATCTGCTCCTATTGCATTCTGAATATGAATGGAATGCTCTGGTGTTAACATAACTTCTGATTTTTGGTCATTCAGTGATTGAAACTTTACACCTTCTTCATTGATTTCTGCCAATTTCAATAGTGAAACCATTTGAAAACCACCTGAGTCTGTTAATAAAGAACCATGCCAGTTCATGAAATTGTGCAAGCCTCCTGCCTTCTCCAAAATCTCAGGACCCTATAAAATATGTTAATGTTTATTTTTATTTATGTAGAAGTGCGTTTTTTATTGTTTTATACTCACAGGTCTAGTTCCCAAATGGTAAGTATTTGATAACATGATTTGTAGTCCTAAACTATCTATTTGATCAGGTAGAAGTCCTTTCAGAGTTCCCTGCAATTAGTAGAAACATAAATAACAATATTATTAATAAAAGTAGGTATATTTACTTGTGTTCCAACAGGCATAAACACAGGGGTATCAACATCACTATGAGGCAAACACATCTTTCCAACCCGAGCTTTGGTTGTTTCGCATTCTGCCAATACATTGAACACTAAAGGGCACTTTTCTGTTACCATTTTGGTTGTGTTTACTAATTTCTTCAATGCAGACATGTAATTTTAGAGGTTATATCGCTCATAGGTTACAAAACGGTGGCAATCGCAAGCCCGACAACCGAAATCCCATGTTCGGAATTCCGACGTTTGAAATCCCGGCTGGCTGAAAATCCAGACAGTGTCTTTAATTATTATAAATTTCTACAATAACATTTTTATGATAGTCGGGATTTTTTGTTTAATGTATTCCGGACAAATTCTGTCTGCTAGTTTTTTTTATTGAACTCCGTGCTATAGTGGTCACCACCACAATACAAACCAATCGAGTTTTTTTTATTAGGGCAATTTTCTAAACTATGATATTCCGAATCTTATACCTGATTTTTTTTATAAATGGTATGGGTGACCATACCTCATGCAACCATGACAAGTTTCTATTTAAAGTTTTTCTTTGTAGATATTCACATTGCCAATTAATAGGGTGGAGTTTCGTAGGAAGGTACTTCGTGCCTTTGATTATACACAACCTACAATGAAGATATTCCTTGAAACTGGTGAAGAAGTTATTGATGTTGAGTCAATTCGTAATGATGAGAATGTGTATAATATTCTCATATTTGAAAAATATTTACTCAAAATTGAAATAAAAAATATAATTATAGAATATGCAGATCTATATATTTGGTTGCAATAGACTGAATTCATTGTCCTTTTCCTTAAGAAAGAAGTATTAGCGTAATTATAGGTGAAAGCCTCCAGGAAAATTATTTGACGAAAAAAATTATGAAAAAAGTACAACTATTAATGTTGTGAATAAAACATTTTATGAATTCATACAAAAATACTCTTAATTATGTTTACATCCCTATTAAATATTTAATTAAACGTGTATTTTTTGTAAATATATCATTTTCTAACAATATATTGTTGGTAATTTCCGAGCAAGAAATATCCTTTTTATTGAATTTTACAGTACGTTCTGCAGCTAGAGTATAAATATTCAATCTTGATTTCTCACTTGTCCAAAAATCATCACCAATTGAAGTCTTTCAACTGCTGAATTAGTTACAGGGCAACACTACGTAAATTCAAGAAGAATAACTAAATATTCATATGGAATGTGTTCATTTTCGAAATGGTTAAATATTTCCATCGATCTTTTAAAATGTTGATTTTCCCATTGTTCTAATTTATCAGAATTTAAGTATACATTAACTCTTCTAATTTCTTCAAACAGACAATTGATAAAATTTCGTAAAGAAGGACACTTTTCAAGAAAGGACAGAGCCTACAAAAAGACTGTTCTCCCTAAAGAAGGACGATTGACCATCTAAATATTGCCTGAAATGGTTCCATTACCAAACAGAACATGATAAATCAAAACGTCATAAAAGGGAACAGGGCAAAATAGAATAACAGTACTAAAACAAAACAGTATTAAAACAGGACATATTAATTAAAATTCCAAATAAATAAATGATAAACATAAATATATAATTCATTATAAATTTTATAATACATCTATTATCATGGATGTTAAAGTGAATGTGTTAATTAATACTGTTTTATGGTAATCCAATAAAAGCTTTTTTGATATCCTCAACAAAAAAATATTTTACTTGGTTGATCTCATACATAATCTAATAGTAGTATGTACGCGGTTTCTTTGCAGAGAATGTGTTAAGACGATGCTGGACGCGTCTTGGGAGTGGGAATTGGATCTTTGAGTCGTGGAATTGTTTTACTTGTGGCCTCCTGCATGCAGAAGCAGCTACAACTTCCACCTTAATGATCTGAAAACATAAATATTATTAGAATATTTACATCAATAGCAGTTTAAGCGGTCGTATTTACCTGGATGGAGTGAGCGCGAGCACGATGACGGGCACCCATGTCCCTGTAGCATTGGGTCACACCACCAGAGACTGTCAGGTCACGGTACTCCCTATACATATTATGAGTGCCTGACCTTGAATCGTATCTTAACCATATTCCAAAATTCTTGATTTTGGTAGGGCTTTTATCATGTATTTCTTTAATGGAGACAATCTCTCCAGTAGTCTTTTTGAACTTCCTCAGTTGCCTCAAGAAGTACCAAAAACGGGATTTGGCTACAATTTGGTCTGGAGCAAAGATTCTCATTTTATATAAAGGAGTCGTAGGCTCCTTATCAGTTGGGAGCTTGCGCCCAATGACTTCATATTCTTTCAACTACAAACAAAATACAAATACATTAAAATTTGAAGATAACCAATATGGAAATATAAACACAAGAATGTTATACATGAATGTTATACACAAGGCGAATATTACTATGTTGGATGCATTGAAAAAAAAATATTCGTATGAGGTGAGCAAAAATATATACACAAAATAACCAAACCAGACTCCGTAAACACGTGTAATTAAGAACACTGAATTGCACTTTTCAATGGAAATAGATGAAACGCAGGGAAACTGCATTACAAACTATAGAACGCGTTTTAACATTGCTGATTGTGTATACATTTTTAATGAAAACTTAGTTAAAAACGAGAAAAATAATAGAAACTAACCTCTCCTTTAGCCTTCATTGCTGCGGTGTATAGCGAAAAGGAAGCGAAAACTAAGAATGCTAAGAAGGCTAAGAAGACGCCAGTTATGGAATCAGAACTATGTATACTTATATACTTACATCATGGACTGCATCCATAAATGTTCCTGCTCATTTTGTTGCATACATCAGAAAGAGAATTAAAAGGCAATCAGCTATTAGTATCACAAATTAGATACCAATGCGGTGTAAATAATAAATAAGTAAATCTCAAAGAACTAAATCATAAGAACTATAAAAACTGAGATATTAGAAGTCTGAATAAACTAATTAATTATATTTACTTCAAGATTTCTTGCTAAATACACAAAAGTATATCAAATTGATTTGAATTTAATCATAAATGATACTCACATACTTTGTAGCTTTATTTAATTTCTTATAAAACAGTGTAATAGTAAGAAATAGTTTATATGTAAAAGTTTCTAAATTAATAGATTTAATAATAAAATACTTTAGTACTTCAGTCTCAATGTAAAGTTTTAATTTAAATTAAATAATATTAATATGATATTGAAGTGTTCATTCCATTTTTTCATTTCTTATAGAATTAACATAATTTTGGTAGGATAGTAGAGTTGAGTTGTTTAAAAAAATAGTGATAGGTTGCAAATGAATAAATTGTAATACTTAGTATGAAGTAAATAATTAAATTTATTAACACATAAGGCTTGAAATTAAAATGTAGATACATGTAATATATAGTATATTTAAAAAACAAAAATGTGAAAGAATTTCTTTCGAAAATAAATACAAAGACAAAGTGAATACAAAATAATATTTCTTTATAAAATAATACAAACTACGTAACCAAGAAGAACTTACATAATCCATATGTAACAAGATACACTAAAGTCACAGTCAGTTTTTTCATTCGATTTCAAGATTTTACAAAAAATAGAATCAAAAATACTTAAATCTGATTAAAAACTGATTAGCAAATATAAAACAATAATACTTTTATTATCCTAAATTTGGGTAATTGGGACAAGAAATTTCCTTTAAACATTAGATACATATATACACTTAATATCCCTCATATCATCATCTTCAGTACTACAAATACAAAATAATAAATTATTAATATTTAAATTTCATTTATATATTAGAAAAATACAAAACAAAAGTCCGAAATAAAAAAATTAATTTAAAAGTTATTAATTAAATAGAAAAAAAAAATTTATATACAAAGTAGAACATAATAAATTCAAAAACTTAAGATCTAATTCACCATATAATTACACATAACTTGTGTACAAAGGAATCAAATAGAAATAATAATAATATGTAAGTGATAGAAAAACACAACTAAATATTTGATTTCTTAATACCTAAAATTCGTGTTTTCATCTTCGAATCACTCGGCTTAAACAAGCATATCTAAGCTGCGAGGCTCTGCGAATCTGTTCAGTCTTGTATCGTTTGGATTGTTCGTTTGAGTCATGTCAATATCATTCGAGGCCTGCTCGAAACGCTTCGCCGGCAGATGCAGTCTCAACGATAACCAGAAGCGTTCGCTGCTGTAAGGAATCACCGTCATCGATTTCAGGATCGAAGCCAATGTTTCGCCTTGGGCATTCTTCAAGTCCGTTCCGCTCTTTGGTAGTTCCTGCATGGCGACGCACACCAATTTAGCGTTAAGAGAGTTCAACTGTTTCAGGGCTTGATAGACCGTGGCGGTATCCCATTGGTTGTCCAAGGAAGAAGGTGAGATGACGGCAACAACTCGACGCGTTTTCCTCGCTGCATCCGATAATTTCGCGCACCCTTAAAAATATAAAAAATTCTATTATTAAATTATTAAGACAGTTTAAGGGTGCAAAGAGCTCTTACATAAGTTCACACCGGATGGTAGAGTTTTTGTGGCGCATTTATAATGGTACTCGTTCTCTAGTAAAGGGCAGATCTTCTCAAGGGCCATCTCGGAATCTTGTTGGGAATGAAGGATCAATACATCGCTGGTCTTGTCGTCGTTGTCTTCCAGCGCTCCGAAGCGATCTTTAAATTTCACGCGCAAAGAAAGCCCGAAGTGGACGTACAAGATAAAAGCCGATATAAAAAATACCAGTATAATGGCAACGGTGATTATCAATTTCTTCCATGGCACTGGGTTCGGATTCAAATAACCGACATATACTGAAATGAGAAGCACATCCATTAGTTCCACTCATCATCATCGCTTATTGATTTTTCTTACCTTTCTCTCGGATGTACACGGGCAAGTCGATGGCCCTTCCTGGTTTAACGATTTTGCAGATATATTTACCGAAATCATCGTTGACGACTTCCTCGATGATCAAATACGTGCCGAACGTCTGACCGTCCTCCCTGTAAACAGAATCAAAGGAATTTGTATAATTTTTGTATGTCGGTATGCTAATGGGGGCAAATAATAATTATCCTTAATGGATGTGAAATAATTTTACGGCGTTTTAATTGTGTGCGTCTTCCGCTATATAAAGCCAGGGGATAATTGTTAATGCCGTGTAAATGGTTGGCCACAATTAGAGTGCCATTTAATCGTGAAAATAAATGTAACAGGGTTAGCCGCGGCGACTTTTTTGTCGCTGAAAAGTCGCATTGTTCGGTTTGTACGTGTACAACATGAAACGACACCGAGTCAAGCCTCCAGCCTTTGCTTTCCCCAGAAGGAACGAAAATTAACAATTTATATACACATTCTTGCTAATAGATATTGACGAGTCGGCATATTTATCGTCGCTGTCGCATATTGGATTATTTATAGAATCCTTGCATTTATGCAACAACCTTCTCTGCTGCTACCGAGGCTCTCTTTTTATGCACCACCTTTCTTTATTTGTATTCCAAATTACTTCACGCCGACGCGAAATACGAAGAACCTCGGTTCAATCACAAAATCATTAAAAATCGCTCCGCTCCAAATCCAATTGGACCAAAGATGATCTGCAACTACTACCGTAACAAATCGCAATTCACCAAAACAAGAATAAAAAATTATGCCTTTAATATTAGGTTTACAAAAAACATTTTATTTTTGATACATTTTCAAAATTTGAAGATCGGCAAATTATATCAATATTCGAAAACAGTTTGTTTCGATGGAACACCTGATTTATTATATAATATTTATTACAACAATTTTATGTTAAGACAAATAATTGTAATATAAAAAAAAAGTTGTGAAATTATTTAAAAGAGTTCGTTTCCTTGTAATGATTTTCAGATAAGTTTCAGTAAACATTTCTACGAACCTGAACAGCAAATAAACTGCAGAGCACAGGCACCGAGTTTACGTTATATAAAACCGTACGAGTGTAAAGGCAACAAACTAATCCGGTTTCTTATTAATCCACGAAACAGCAATATTTAGAATAAACACATCGTCGAGTGGAAACGAAACAACGCGAATCCAGCTTTGCAGCTGCTTGTTTTCCAACTGCAAAGGGACAACAAATAAAGCAAATATCAAGGAGTGGAATAAGTCTTATGAATCAATTTCAAGCCTATTGTTTTTGTTCACACCGAAAGGCGTCTGTCGAGCGGAATTTTTGTACAAAACCTCTGGGTGGCTTCTAGGAAAGCGAAGAGTGCAAGTGCGAAATAAAGAAAGGCAAATGTAAATAGCTCACACACGTCGCGAAAGACTCCTCGATTCATATTTATGAACAACTAACGTCTCTCTGGCTCTGTGTTTCGTTACATTGTGAACACATGCCACGATGAAAGTAATTGCAAATTTACAGAGTCTCACAATTACTTTTATGCTGAACATGTAATAGCGAGCCAAGAGCAAGAACAAAGCCAAACCAAAGTACCAAGAAAAAAGTCGCTTTGATCTTTCCTGACTTTCGACTCCTAATTGGTTACTTGCATCGAATGCATACGAAAAAAATGTAACTATTTAAAAAATCAAATTTCAATTCGTTGCGAATGAAACACACTTTGATCACGCTATTATTTTAATAGCAATGTAGCAAGAAACGATTACATCTTATTAGTTGGAAATATACATAGTTGTTTATATTAAACTCTAACGATGATTTCATGGATGTGCTGACGGCCCAAATGAATTTAATACTATGCAATTATGTTGGATGCATGCCATTTACATCGATGCAAACTATACCACCGATAGTTGCAAATAGTCCTACAAATAATCATGATTGCAGCAATAAATTTGCGTATTTTTTTTATCATGAAACGAGAGCACCGTTACATTTCTAATTTACCATCGAAAAAAGAAGCTAAATAAACGTATCAGGAAACATATCTAAATGACAGATAATTACTGCTAATCAGACTAGTTTTTTATCCGCTTTCTAAATATTCATTTTCTTTAATGATTCTCATCTCTACTAAAACTTTATTTCTTTATTCAATAGTTGGAAGCAATTACAAAAGCATTTTTTTGTCATTAGCATAATTGTATTTATATGATAAAATAAGAACACAAAATTATTTTAGTTTTTTTAAACTATAATTGTTATACACGAATGCAAATGAAACTCTTTTAAAGTAATAAAGATTACACAGAGAATAACTAATTATTAACGTTTAAAAGCTTCAAACAATTTGTTCACGTTTTTACTCGAACAAGGTTTCCATGAAAGTGTTGAAATAAGTACATAACAATAAAATATCTTATTTTTATTCTATCGAAACACAGAGAAGGTACAGCTTCAACTTCATTCCATAAAGTAATCATTGTTCGGCGATTGCTATAATCATTATGAGTAGTTCACGTTTATATATACAAATTTATAAATAGGTCGTCCGTTTATATTTAGCGCTTCGAGTTTATTTACTTTTTGGTTGAAATTTAAAAGTGGGGAGAATATGTTTCCGTGTTCCATGCTCGATATCATTAAGTTTTTCACTACATTGCTGTATTTATTAGAGGATTTCATTTCTAATTGGTCTATCGACCCGCATAACCCTTAAATACTAATCGTTGTTATTTATTTATAGCGTAAGGAAGTGAACTTCTCCAGGTAAAGCTGAGAAGTTCACTCGGCTTGTTTATCGATTCGGAATGTCAATACAGTCAGTTCGTTGGCGATTTCCAATGGGGATATAAAAAGCGATGAAAGATTTGTCACAACGTTGAATCTAAATATATACCTACTCTGTTTGTTATTCTGGGAAGACTAATTTCATTGCTTGCTTTTCATAGAAAATAAAATATCCCTTTAAGATACTTGAAACTCGATTTTTGCGTAGTTTCATTACAATATATTTATTCTCCATAATACATTTTCGCATTCTAAACGAATCACATTTAAACCACATCCTTAAATACATTTTTTCTTATGGTATTAGTTTAAATGTTAAAGGCATAAATGATTTGTCAATAATTAGATCATACCAGATAGTATAATACTAATATTTCTGTAAAAAAAAGTGCTGACTGTTCATTAAAATATAGTATTTATCGACTTTGTAATTTAATGTTTTGACAGGTAAAGACGGGTCTTTACAGACTGCTAATGTATATAATAAATCCTAACTATACAAATAATACTAACGGTTGGATCGATGACCTCATGATCCTAACACTGAGTGCAAAGCTTAGAAGTGAACCACACCTTTTAGGTAGAAAAATTGAAGAACAAAATCAATAAACAAGCATTTGAGGAACGAATATATCTAGAAATAGAATGCATTATGGGCAATCCATTATATCATCAAATAACGTGGAAATGGTAAAATCTATAAAACGAAACAGAATACCACAGCTTTTAAAATAATTAAAATTGATTCAAAATAATTGCGTGATTCCCGGAACGCATCCAGTTTGCGGCATTTTCAGAGGCGTCACCTTCCTTCGTTCGTCATATTTGTTGGTAAAAAAAATATTGGATTATGAGCAATTCGCATTTCGGACGGTGTCAAATTAATTTCCGACGGTAATGCAATTTTAATGCATTAGTCGAGGAAAATTCGCGTGCACTATAATATATCAATGTTCTCCAAGAAAAATAAAAGTAAATAATAATAATAAAAAAAAGTGAAGTGAGTAAAGTACAAGAAGAAGTATATAAATCGCCGTCGGCACGGAACATCGCGTTGCCCTTTTGAAAGTTAAATTTAGATTTGTGTGTGTGTACCAGGAACAACTGGTTATTATCGGAATTACATTTTTGTTTCCTTTCTCGCTACTTATTAGATTATAATTGAATTATGTCGAATAATTATGGAGTGAATAGGGTGGACCAATAAAAGCCAGAGCTAATTAATAGTTCCATCGATTCGGGACTCCAATTAATAATGAAACTCCCGGACTAATTAACTCTCGATTTATTCTTATTCGTTTAATTGCCGCGCGTTCTAAGAATTCGAGAAAACTGTAACACCGAAGATCGTCCATTTAACTCTCTTTTTTTGCTTACTCTGTGTCAGGTTTGATGTGCTGCGAAAAAAAAGCAACGACAACCACCGGAGAAGAGAGAGAGAGAGGAAATGCGAGAGTCATTGGAATTAATGACATTTAAATTGAGGAGGCTCGGTTTTCTGGTATCCTTTGACAATGTGGATAATTGCCGCAATTATCCGTTTTATTTAAGTTCCACGTAGACGTTTCGACTTATCATTAAATAATTTTTTTATACATTTTCTTCGGCCGCGAGCGACTTTTGTTGGATCTTCTCGTCATCTTCACATGACTCTGCTACAAACTGCTTTCCCCCGTTTTGTACTTCGCTCTCTTCCTTTATTACCGCGAGACAAGAAACGAAATAAAACAACAACAGCAATAACAAAAAATGAGTAAAATTCTGTCTCACAATCATTTTTCTACGACTTCCTTTAAGTTAGATACGTGAAGCGGATATAGCCGTCGCCGATTACGCAACGACAAATCTTTGCTGCTGGCAACGTGAAATCCATATAAACATTGAAGCACGCCATGGATTCAATCAGATTAATATCTGGTTTCCTTTGGTTTGATGCATGCAAGAAACCAACAAACATAACAATACTTATTGTTTCGCACCTGATTTACCAAGAAATCGCGTTAAATAATTTCGAATTTTGCGAATACTTAATTACCATGAATACGTTTTCAGTTTACAAATACGTGCCTCTCCGCACATTCTCATTCTAAAAGTCAACTATCTACAAAAAAGTTTACTAATCGTTTCTTTTTCCAATAATCTAATAACAATTATAAATATACAAATACTAGCTTAACGAGTTTATTCTGTTACAAAATTTCCGAATTTTTACTCGTATAGTGAAACATATTCAAAAATACATATAATATGTGTACGTACAAGTTTTAAAAATGATGTAGCAGGCGCGCATTCTGAGACTTCTCTTCCCATCGTCACTTGTTATGCGAAATATCGCTCGTTAAGCGAGTAATTTTTCTTACAATTAATTTAGCTCGTTAAGGGAAATGCTTGTTATGCGAGGTTCCACTGTACATTTAAATTTTAATAAAACAATACCTGGAATATACATTACGCTCAACATTTTTTTTTTCAAATAAAGTTTATACATCAAGCAAAATTCATTTATTGGAAATAATTCAATGGAAATATAGACTTCGTTTATATTTTATTTCATTTTTATTTTCAGTTCGAACAGTTGTTATTTTAAATTCAATTTCAATTAATGCACTGCAGTACATTGTTCACATATCTTTCTCTCAGTGGCATTTTCATCTGTTTATATATATATATCCAGATGCAAATCACGGAATGTCAAGCTGTCCTATACAACTTAAACAACGACGACGAAGAACCCGGATGCCAGAACGCAGGAAGACACGCGGAGCAGTTTATTTGTTAAGATCATTGATGTTTTCTTGTTTTAATATGCAGCCATTTTATGAGTTTATTTTCTAGAAAATGTGAACTTAAAAATCAAATAATTTTGATATTTCCTTGTTAAGTATTATTCGCAATATACTAATTCTAATAATAAGTACATAAACTCAAATATAAAAAAAATGTAGGAGTAATATATATTAAGAATAAATATGTTATTTTGAGAAGTACACTAAATAGGTTTAAATTGGAATACCCAGAAACGGTACTAACTCATATTAACAGGTTAACGAGATTTAGTGCGGACATCTTTTTCTTCCTCGAGTAGTCTGGTAATTCGCAGATGATTTACGTGCACAGCCGAGTCGTAAATCAATTCAACTCTAATATGTAAGGTTGAGCCGGAGAGTTGGATGAAACGAAGAAGTCAGTGACTATGGTAGCGGTAAAGTGTATAAATTTCAAAGTCTAGGTATTCTATAAAATACCTAAGCTACTAGGCATAACGATTTGTATTTTGCATTATAATTTACCACGAGTCATACATAATATTGAATTATACACTTTGCCGTTAACAAATACAACGATATATGCGTGGTCACAGCGAAAAATCTTATTGATAATGAAGGAGAGAAGAACAGGGAGAGGAGAGTCGAAATGAATGGAATTGTATTTATTTACCTTGAGACTTTTTCTTGTCTGATACGTGGTTCGTCATCGATGCTACCATTATGGCCGCTCTTTGTCCAGATCGCCTCGCTATGCGCGTCCGGTAAATTAACGACACCTGCAACGTAACACAAAAATGAAACAAAGACAGAATAAACGAAATGCCTACAGTATTTATATAAGACGATGAAAAATTCGTAATTTATTTCCTTTCGGCGCGGACGATTTGTAATTATAAAATTTCATTTAGCCGAGAAAAGCAGTTTCACGCTCACGACCGCGCGCATTTTTTCCCTTGCCTTCTTCATCATCATCATCATTATTATTTCTTCTTATTTTCTTTTGCTGGTGTACGTTGTTGTTGTTGTTACTTTTTACCTGTCTCTCTCATTCTCATACACTCTTCCCTCCTTCGTACATCTTCGACTAAAGACTTATCTTTTATACTTCGTTTAATACATTTTAAATTACACCATAAAGCGGCACATCATTAATTTTATAGCTTTGGACACGCTCTTCTTGCTAAATGATTGACAGATTCACTTTTCGTCTTCCTCCGCTGCGGCACAATACATTTAACCAACTCCGTCCTTCCTATAAACTCGCTGCGGTAGTCTCACAGTGTCTTGAGCACACAAAGAAATACATCGGATAACAACAATAATAATATGTATTTAAATTGGATTTTATTTAGTACAAAAGAAATGCAGTTGCTTTGCTCAAAGTGTATTATTGTCATTGAATAATCCTTATTTAGTAAATAAGTAGCTGAAAGCAATTATGTGACTACATTTAGTTCGGTCACAGGAATCACTGAGTCATCCAATCTCTACAAGAAAGTGACTATTGTTTAAACAACCAACCGCAATTCAGATTCACCTGCATTGATATAAAATTGATCACCCGGAAACATTGTTTGGTCAATGATGCAGCAAATTAGTTTCAAATTTCATCTCTTAATCAGATATTCGGTTTCCAGAAAACTGATTAAACTTATCTGACTGTACAATTATATGTTTTAATAAACAAAAGCATTTGATAAACACTACGTATATGTTTATATTTGGAAAACAGCTTCAATTATGTTAAGTAAATATTACAATACTTTTGGAACTAATCTTCATATTTAATAAACATTACATTTTGATTTATTCGTAAATATTATGCGAGACATAAAATTAAACTGCAATTGATCCAACATATTAAGTTGCTTACATTCTTAGAATTTGTAAATAAAAAATGAAGTTTATGATAGACATTCAACCTATCTAGGAAATATCTAAAAATATGTTCTAATTAATTAAAATGTAAAAGTATAACGTGTTCTATTAATTTGATTTGTTCAGTTACATATCACATACAATATTTAATCCACTTAATCTTAAAATGAATTTTACAATATATGAGCCGTTTTTTGAAGTGGAATCCATTTTTGGAAAAAAAAATAGTTCATAGTAATTTTAGTAATGCTAATAATTATTATTGTATAATAAAATTTAGCAACATCACCCGAATTGATTAACGTTTTCCAATATTTTTAAATTAATTCAAACGCAAACCCTTAAATATCTCAATGTATGAAAAATGGAATTATACCACTGTGAAATATGATTTTTAATGCTATCTAAACTGTTTTGTTATACTGGAAAATATACATTATTGGAATTTTATTGTAAATGAAAATTGAAAGAATAGAAAATAGTAAATTTTGTTGAAAAAGGAGCGATGAATGATTCAAAAGATACAAAAGCCAATTTCGTCGAGCCATGTACACACAAGGATAAATGAAAAATACTGGAACAATTGGTTTTTACGAAAAGTGATTCACGCGATTTATATCTTAACCATATACGTTTGTTTTTATATAACCAATTCGTGTAAGTAGGACAAGATGCTATAAGAACAGCAATTATTAATTACGTAGACGTATGAAGACGGCGTGGAAAAGTGGCATGCACAAGGCGTGAAGAGTGCTTCGTTTTAACAATTACAATGACCAAGGGAACGAAGAATTCAATCAATAATATACAATGCAGCGTGCATTTATTGATAAGGGAATACGCGAGAAGCGATGAATACACGATTCGTCGTATTCTCGGATGGCTCACACATGCACACCAACAATACACTATGCATGCCTATACATGCGGTTGTGGGGTATGTGTATGAGAGAGTGTATGTATACAAGTATATGCACAGATACATGGATTCACACATACAATGCTCGACGACAACAATAATGCAAGACGTCGGACGTGCTGTGCGAAAGGAGAAGGCAGTGTTGGTGATTGGCGACGAGACGTGCATTAAAAACGCATAATTAAAAACCAAGTCATTAGCCGTCCATCCACGAATAAAAGCCCTTATCCGAAGCGGACAAATGAAATTCAGATTCACAGAACGGACCTCCAGAGGACAAAGCCGAAGCCAACCAGCGTCGACCTTCCATTGAAAATTACCATAGATAAAGTGCAATTATGTTCTGGGAAGCGAGGAATATTTAAGATTATGATATCACGTCTACTTAGAAACGAACAGAATGAAACATGAACAATAAAAGAGTTTAGAACCGAATCGAAGGGGGAATTTTGAAATTGCGGTTTTCGGATCACCATCATCATCATTGCCTCCTTCTTGATGGTTTAACCAATTGTTTCGCTTCGGGAAATAACTAATAAATAAGTGATTTCGTGAAGCGTCTACGTGGTCGTGGATAACGCGGTTTCTGTTATTCTGGTTTTCATGTTTTCGCCGACGTTTTTCTTTGGAAGCATTGCGATTGATGCTCCTATTCCGAGAAACTTTTATCATGTTTGATGTAAAATATTGAACTATCTCTTAAATGCGTCCAGAAATTCAATGAGATAATTATATGTGGCTTTGCTGATTACTCTGAAATAGCGAATGGAGAAGTCCACTGGTTCAAAGATATTGACAGTTTCATTGATACACATTTATCTATGAAATAGTATATCTGTGTAAAATAACAGAAACTATTCTTGTAATCATATAATTAATATTATAGTGGCATTAGTGATTTCTTATCAACTAATTAATATAACTAATCAAATAGAACATAATTCAATAGCAACAGTAAGCTTTTTTTAATATTAATTACAGTAATAAACAAATTAAAAAATAATTTAGTAACAATTTACTAAATTCATATCTATTCCAAGAATTTTCCTGTTTGAAGTTGCTTTGTTAAAAAAATATTGTTAGTTTTAATAAATTAAGTGGTTTTTTATTCACATCGTGAGCGCTGAACGTTAACGAAGAAGAAAGTGTCGTTTTTTTAAGTAAAAAAATATAACGAGTGCATCATCATTAAAAGTATGCGTTAAAAAGAAAGCGTAAAGTCCAGAATCACATGTTCATTGCAACATCAATTTTGTTGTAATTCAGGTTTTTGTCTCATTTAATTCTTTCTTAACCAAATATTAGCTCCGTAATTGTGAAAGGAAACATCAAAAACAAACAAAAAATACACAAATAATTGGCATCACTATTTCCTGTTTGCTATTCTCCAGGGATTCGAAAAATCCAAAGAATCCTGTCTATAAACTCCATAAAAATTCAGGCATCGAGGACAAAGGCGATAAATTGCCGCGCGGAATAAAAATGGAGGAGACAGGAAATAGGAAAGAAGATTTGACGTTCCGAGTGCTTCGATGCCTCCTTTCGCGGTTTACCAGAAGCAGAAGTAGCGATTTGGACGGGTTCGGAATGTGTAATGAGGTCAGCACTGGTGGCGGGAGTACAGGAATCCCATTTTTGGGATCGTACCCTGGGAGAGAGAAAGAGATAAGGCTTCTTACGTCGATGAGAGTCTTTTTATCTGACGACTGGCTATTGCCGATGCCGACATCCGATCAGCAGGCAAGCAAAATTTCTTAATTAAAGAAAAAAACGAAGACATTCGACGTCCGATCGTTCTTCTTTTTTAATCTTTTTGCCGTCTGTGATAGTTCGAAGCGTTGCTACTGAACACACGCATTTATGTAAATGCACTTAACAAGTGTTAAGCTTAAACTGATTTAAATGCAAGAGAAAAAAGGAGAAACTGTACGAGAGCCGACCGTAGTATTTGAATAATTGCCACGAACAAACAAATCAAGGAGCACTTCAGATAAGATTACTGTTTTCTTTTGAACAACAAATATAGTTAATTACCTTACTCAACTGGAATTCAAATTTTCCTTAGAATACGCTGCTAATGGCTGAAGGTATATTGTTTTGATTGATCGTATACATAAGTGCGATAATTTATAAACAATGTTTGGTCTAGACTAGTCATTCTTAAAGTTTTCCAAATATAATAACAGTGTTTCTTTTTCATTCTGACTTCAATCATCAAAATGAAGATTTATTTTAAAGCTACACGATTGTACAACAACTGGTTCAAATGAATTTAAATTCAAAAATATATTAACATAATGATTGACCAGATTTATCCAATAGAATTATTGTTCGTGGTTTTATTTTAATATTATCGTTATCTTAATTTACAATCAGTCAACCTAAGATTTTTTTTCATAATTTCAAGACACCTTTCGTTTTAGGACGAAATATAACTAAATAAAATAACATATGTTTATTATTGCATTTTTCTTTAGTTCGCATAAAATAGATAGATTATTTTTAGTTTTATTTTAACTTCTGGTGTAGACTTACCAACAAAGGCCTCGCAGAAGAGGCGGACGGACTGTCCCACGCTGACTTCCTTATCATTCGACACGTAAGTAATCTTCGGATCGTCTGGGATTTTGTCTGAAAAACGAAAACGGATACCACAATTAAATTTGAATCCAATTAATTGTCGATGAATGAAGCATGCAAACAACATCTCCTCTCTCGTCAGGTTTCTTATTTGGAAGGCTTCCAATCTGCACTCCCATTGTGCATCTACAACTACTTGCACTCTATACTACATATATACATTTTTTTTTATGTTCATCGTGCAATTCATATTTTTTTTTGTAATACAATTGGCTGACAACACACTAAGAGGCTGCGGGTATTTTTAGAACTACGTCCAATTAAAGTTAAATTGCGATCCGGAGGAGAGCTTGACGGAATACCTGGAAAAATAATATTGCTCACCACGCGAGAGATACCATTCTTACGGCGTTTGCAATTATGGACATAATTAACTTCAGCCCATCAAATCAACAATATAATAATTTCATGGCTGCTGACGTCCACAATAGAGACTATAAACGCAAAAACGAAATAAAAGAGGATGATAGCCTCGGGTCATTTATGTTCCAATTAAATCTTTTTCTTGGTGCTATTTATATGCATTCTCTAATGCTCCCGACGTTCGGGTACAACAATAAAACTAATTCGTCCAGATGGACACGTTTGCATCACATCTGCATGCGCCTCATTTCGATTCGATACCTTTCTTCCGTTTACTGACATGAGTCATCTTGCAAATGTGTTCTCATGCCTTCTAACAATCAATCAAAAACTATTGATCCGTCCGTAATTTGTCAAATGAGCGAGCGTCCGTTGAAACATTACGCTTTTGAATCATTAATGCCGTCGATACATGTCCAGTTCACAGAAATACCTGGCCTGGTATCGTTCCTGTAATTACAGTCAGAAACATTTATGTACCTTTACTATATTGGTAAAAGCGAAGACTTCGAACGTTACCCGATAAAGTTGATTACTTGTTTATGATTTATTACTCGGAATAAAATAATTATCAGGTATGGGGATACACATAATTGCAATGCACGGCTACTGCAAGAATTCCGTAATAAACAACAAACTAATGAGCTGACGATTATAGCCACACTAATTGACACTGTCGAAAAGGAAACGAGACAATAAGATGCAGACATTAATAGCAACGTGCATGAAGTTTTATGATGTAACTGATGTTTCAATTAATGAAACAAATATTTTTATCGATTATAACCATATCAATATATTATATATTAGAAAATATAATGAACTTTTGACGTTCTATTAAATCATATAATAAAAATAGATAAAACCAATATAAATTTGTCACGTTTTACAATTCTCAACTAATAAATTCCAAAGATGAAATCGGGATTATTCACCTTATTTTTATTATTTTAAATCAATGGATTTAAGAAAATTTCCGGATTTCTACTCGTATAGTGAAACATAGTCAAAAATACAAAGTAAACAAGATTTAAAAATTATGTAGCAGACGCGAAATCCGGGACTTCTCATCTCATCGTTATGCGAAACGTCGCTCGTTAAGCGAATCATTTTCTTATAATTCATTTAGCTCGTTAAGCGAGGTTCCACTGTACTTGTTTTATTATTATTATTTGCCAGTGTAATCTTTTGAATGATTAATTTGAAAATGTATAGTTTTCCAAGTTAGTCTGTCCACTACAAGTCTATTGATTATATTAAATATTAATTTGTTTGTGGGAAATAAAAATTCGTGGCCATCTTGGTGATTTGAGTTTAGAAGCAAACATATGAAACATATTGTTGTTATCGATTGTTTGTATTTTTATGTATATCTTGAAAACTTAATATATGTGGCCAATAAATATGTTACATAATAACAACAAAGTCAAAAATTAATAGTAAATAGACAATCCAACAGTTTATATATTTTTTTATAAAATTATTACGGTTAAATCAAAGTCATTGCTCATTGATAAACAATTAGTATCAAAATGTATATATTGCTCTTAAAAAATTAATGATCCCGATGCAATTAAAATATCGTTGACTTAATTAATTTATAATTGCAATGTCGAATGGGACTAGTGCAGTAGCTTGAAGCTCGTTCTCTGCTCCGTCACGGTTAGCTGCCAACTCTATCCAGTTTACAGTTCCAACTTCATTATTTAAATGAATAAAGCCTTTTCTTGCTTCACTTCTTTAGACGCAACCGGATAAGAAATAATGAAAGAATCCCATTAAGAATGTAAATGCTCCTGGAAGCAAAAGTGATTGACACAAACAACGATCCTTATAATTGCTCATTTTCAAATCACGACGAGATGTGTGTTGGCTCTGTGTTAATTAGTAGGAGCATCGGAACAATGAGGATGAGGCCCCCGCAGACACGCCTCTGCGTTGCATATGCCTAAATGAAACTTAATTACAATTAAACAATCTGCGTGATTTCCAAAGAGTTACGTGAAGTCGATTCCGGAAATTAATTAAAATGTATGTTATAATTAGCGGTTTTATGTAAGACCATAACTTTATAGTGGAAGCGTATAAGGATGCGCTAGTATGCATCGGGGTGGTTTCGTTTAAGAGAGATAGGATTCTCGGAACTGAATTTCAATTTAGGTTAAACATTTAATTACACTGCACTGCCTGAAAGTAAAGCAATTGGAGAGCGCGTAAAGCGCATGAGAATTTCTGAACCATAATGCAATTAATTGGTTAGTTCTATTAATTAGAGACCGGACTTTCTGAATGGATCTGCCGTGGAAGCAGGTGCACAAAATCACATGTATATTTGGTAAAGGACATTCAGGAAATGTTTAATTTATGATGCCGGGTTTCACAAGGAGAACGAACTTAGAGTTCTCTCTCTCAACACACACGCATTCTCCACAATTCCCATTCAATGTAGTAGTTTCATATATTATTCATGCAAATATAATTCAATCGCTTTCATTGATTAAAACCCATGTAGTAGTTAACACTCGGTTTGCATTTGTGTGTGGTTGGACCAGTTGCGAGTTTTTTTTTTCAGTCCCTCTCGTTTGGAACAAAGACATTTGATAATAAATAAATCTCGGGGCGAGAATAAGAATGAGCGCGAGAGAGACAAAGATATGTGCATGCATATACAGGATAGCACCTTGCTTGCTGCACACGTGGCCATTGTTTCGCAGGCTGAGCAGGATGTGCGTAGGCCAGAAACGAAATCTGCTTTAGAAATTTGTCGAATGCATATGGGACTCATTTGCGTGTGCGGGAATAGAGCCGAATAAATAAAATGTGGTGCAAAATGCAGACGTGGGCGGACACATCGATTTTAGATTAACGCACACCATTTGCACACACCACACTCCCAACGGAAACAAGAACAACGGGAACACCAAAACTACCCGATAAATATTTTAGCTGTTGGCTTGGCAACACTTCAATGTATTATGCAGGCTCTGTACACACCGATCAAATGCATGACAGAAAAATCGTTTTTATTGCACCTCAAGTATTGAGGTCATTCATATAACTATGGTTTGCAAGACAACTTTTACAAAATTTTATTCTGTATCGTATTTATTCATTCCAGAAAATGTATCCCTGATATAATATATTTACGTTCATTTTAATTTACTATTACATATTGAATTTACGTTGGTGGAATTTACTGATAACTATGACAACTTGCTCAACAATAGGTAAGAAGTATACTAATATAAACTAATTGTTTTCCATATAAAATTCATTAACAATGATGTAACAGAAGTAAGATTTTTTATAAAATTAACAAAAGTAATTTCTATATTATGTAATTACAATTATATTTTTCACTCGTTTATATAACATAATAATTGATAAAACATATACCAAACTTTAAGTTTAATTTGTGTTAATGGTATTTATAACAGATCTTTTTCATCATCAAGTTTTGCAAACAAAAAATAATTAAACCATTAGTTCATTCAATAATGAGTCATAATTTACTAATTTATGAAGTAAAATCCAATTGTCAATGTTTCAAAACTATTTATTAAAGGTTTCAATCAAATTGTATATAAATTCAATTAATAAATTACATTAGTTTCCAGTCAATATTTTTGTTAATTCTATAGATTTTTATGTTCGTAAAATGTAGTAATATAATAATTTGAAAGATGTAATAGACGTTTTGTTAAGTGTTACCAATCACAACAAGCAATTCAGTAGAAAATGAAATTGTCCTCAGTAAAAAATATATGAAAATACCATTGTTTACGATAATACACTGTTCTTATAATTGCATTTTAAATGGATTTCCGTTGGTAAACACAGGCATTACTTTTTTTTATGAACATCAATAATAATGAATGTAATATGGCCGAGTGCAACGCTTCTGGTGTTCCTTTTTTTCTTACTCAATCAACGCAATACAGCACATCAAACACGATGGATTAAAAGCAATAATAACAATGTTTCAATTGATTTATTCTCTAGTATTTTTATTTAGACTGTAACATTCCTTCAGTATGTTTAAATATTAAATTTTGTAGTGGGTATATAAATGTGATATGAAATATTACAGGGAAATATTGAAAGATATTCAAATAATAATCGCGATGTGTATTTTATAGAAGTAATTATGGAATAATGTGTCATAGGAAAATCCCCTGGAGGATGATGCAAGCAAGAACATCAGATAAAATCTGCTGCACCATTGTTAGAATAATATATCTGCAAGCCGGAAATAATTGCAGAAGTTACGTAACTCAACTAGGACGGGGGGAAAATCCAATACCTGCGACAATTATTGGAAATTTTACGGCACAGGAAGGCAACGTATATTTCTATAAAAAGTTGATTAACATTTCTACGAAAATCATATCGCTGAACTATGTGTTTTAACTATTTCCATAAAAATGTTACAAATGTTTTTGTGTTGAAATGTATATAAAAAATTATTTACAAACGTCGATTGGAAACCGGAACTTAAATTGAATTTATCGTTTCTCCGAATCCTGCACGCCGTGTTATTATATTATAAAAAGTTTAAACGCTGAATCGGAACTATTCCTACAAATCACTGTAATGTGTAGTTATTCATTGATTCAAGTAGTGTAATTTGCTATAACTAATTATTTCGCTCGAATCATTTTATTTTTAATTATTTTATCATTTTATTTTTAATTAAAATGAATTAACAAGTTTATATTAAATATCAATATAACTGAATATTGGTATCGAGATTTGCATTCTAAAAAATGGTAACAAGAAAATATAATTTCCTGTGTAAAGTAACATTTATATCATGCGATTCAACTGTATGACATTCTACACTAGAGGAATAGCTCACACTTGATACAATCTGTGAAATTAGACCCAAGTTTTCCGGTTTTTATCAATTCTGAGAATTCGAAAAACGTTGCTTTCTGTACAGTGACTACCTTCAATTATATTCAACAGCTGAACAAAAATATATACAATGTTAATTTAGTTTTTTTTAAATATAGATAATACGAAGTATTAATAGTTATTTCATAAGAATTTCTTAATTAAACATATTACGTAACATATACATTTCTTTGAGATAAAATATTGGACACTGTTCTAAGGGAAATGGAAGCAGAATTCGGGGAAGTTTGAGTTCATCAATCATCAGGTTTCCGCAGTTTATGAGCTCGCACATCATAAATATGGTTTGGTCCGTTGAAAGCGAGCTCAATTACTAATTCCAGTGAATAAAGAAACATTTGCAGATTGTGCGTGACACATGTCTCTACCCTCAGAACGTGGAGAATTGTGCATATAAGCTAAAGTAGAGTGAAGAGAGTAAAAAAAATGGGGCCACATGTGATATCGTACACGGTATGTCGGAGGGCTAATTTGCATGCCACGTGCATATTTAAAGTGAACGGAAGGAACGAACCGCAAATGTATCAGCACAATGGGCATAGCGACAAAAGGTAATTTTCGATTCGAAAAAGGAGGTACAAAACGGAAGAAAAGGCTACCGGTGGGTACGTACAAAATACAAACAAGAGGGAGTGGAGAGGTTGGGGAGAGAATGCAAATTAAATGCAATTTGCATACACTGCTAAATAACGTGGAAAGAAAAAAGGGAAGAACGAAAAAAAAAATGTTGTGTGTAAAAAGAATGAAATAAGTAAAGGAAATTGTGGTACGGCGATTGTAATTTCTGCGCGCACCTGTGCATAGGATTGCGTGCGTTTTCCATGAAACCCATGACGCCCCCGCTGGGCGGCCACCTGGGCCCTTGTAACGAGGTTTACATTAATTTATATGCCCACACGACTTTCGCAAATTCCACCCATGCACTTACCGAAAACTCTTAGCTGGATCGTGTGCGTGTATACGGTGGTATCGTTGCGCAACAGGCAGGTGTAGTTGCCTGCATCCTCCGCCGTTATCGTCTGCGTGTAGATGGTCTGGTTAGCGCTTTCCGGATATAGGATCAACCCGGATACGGATGACGACCATGGGTACAATCTACCATCCTTCAACCTGAAACAAATTTCAAAACCGTTACCAAAAAGAATCAAAAGTATACCTTTTACAATAGACTGCCTAGTAGATAGGTTTGATGCAAAACTTATATTCTGCGACAGTATTATTATAATCCATAATGTCATAAATAAAATTAAAAACAAATTTATTTTGATGCAATTTACTATAGACACGCTACAATTTTACCTAATTCAACTATTCCTTGAATTAATTATGATGTAGTACATTAAATTAAATAACTTAACTTATCAAAATTAAAGTAATTATTATTACAAATTATCTTGAAAATAATACTACTTAAGCATCGTGAACATACAAAAATAGGTGTTAATAGTTTAGGCAAAATGAGAATTGAGGGAGTGGAATTGGATGTGGTTAGAATTAATGATCATGAGCGATCATTATAAGACCATTAATCAATTTAGTCTCTTATCTGAGGCCTTGCTGGCGCATGAACTATATTGAATAAGTGCGATTAATCTGAAAGTGGCGATATCAATTATCCTTGCATTTATGAATAAAACCAGAAATTTACAATAGACCTGACATGAACTGCAAAATAAGCACTATGTTTGAAAAAACGTCATTCGGAAGATAACATATGCTACTATAAAGTTTTGATTGCGCGCCACTCTAGATTTATGATTAAAATAATTGAAAGGCTTTATAGAGAAGATTACAAAAATAAAATAAATATATATATTTATAATAATTGCTAAGGATTATTAACCCGTATTACTCTGACTATAAAATGATTTCGATTTTCAAGATACAAACCAAATTTATGAGACTAAAGGCAGTAACAATGTATTTTATTATATAAATAAAGCATGAAGTATTGTTCAATGGTGTTGGAACAGTAACATTTTTTATTATGTATATACACAAATGTATTTCGGAAGACTTAAATAATGTAAAACTAAATGTGTGTGTATATCGTTCAACAGAAATAATATTGGTTTCCATCCTGTGCAACGCATATCGCCGTTTACATTGATGTCATTCGTGGAAACAGCGGAAGCTCCAAACGCCATTACATAATTCCATTTGGATCGAATATGGAAATATGTAATCAAAAAGCAATTTCGATTTATCGTTTCCCGGTACTGGCGTATTCGAATTTCCCGACGCGCCGCGCCATCTGAAGAGACACGTGAAGACAGACCAAACTATCCTCAACTGCGCCTCTGAATTTCTTCGGAACTGTCAATATTGACGGCGGCGCTTGCCAAGAAAATACATTAAATTGAATTTGACAAGACCATGTTAGGACGAGGTGGATCGTCCTCATCTCTTTGGCAAATATTTGAGCTACAATCCACATGCTTTTCCAGAGACGCGCAGCTTCAAGCGATTAAAAAAAAACTCATAATATAACCGATGCAGTCAGCAACGATTGCGCAATGCGAGAACAATTACAAAGCGCTCCGTAAAATTCTTAACATTTAACAAACGACATCCTGCTTTTCGGGGACTTTCCCACAACCATAGCCGTCTAAAATGCATTTGCTGTTTACTTTAATGGAAGTAATCATAAGTTTCATCAGATTAAAAAGTATTTTCGTTATTCCTGGTGCGCGTTTCAAATCTATTTTAGGTGATGTAAAATGTCAATGATTATTTCTCGAAATTTAGTGCTCAAATGAGTCGCATATTTTTCTTTAGCGGCCTTTTAATGATTCCGCGAATGAGAGTTGTCTGTTTGGAGTAAAAGTTTTTTTTTCTCATTTTTTTTTTGGCAGAATGAACTGAAAGGAAAATTCAACGAAACTTTGAGCCGGAAGTTGGGAGAGTCGTGTACGGATGTCCGTTCAAAAAAAAATTACATTGTGTCGACGGATTTTGAGCGGACGAAGATTGAATTCTAAGTGGATCGTGACAAAAATTGACTTGTAAAAAGGGTTAAATGAATATTCATTGTTGGCGTAGAGTTGGAGGGGGATCTCATTAGGCTGCGCTAATATGCATTCAAAAGTGCATGTAATCCTTCGAGGAATAATCAAGAGTAATATGGAAAAATGCGATGGACTTTTTTTTTGTTGTTGTTGCCGTTGTAACAGAAATCAAGGTTCGCTGCGTGTTCAGTGCGCGAAACAGAGCGTCTAATTATGGCGATTCCCACGTACGAAGACGGGAGAAGGGTTGTGCAGATGGTCATGTCCTTGTTGTCTCTGCTGTTGCTGATCGTGAAGTATACTCCCTACTGGATGATCGGATTTCGCCCTTTTGCGGAAGCGCTCAATCCATGAGCAATTACTAGTGAAGTGTCCGAGCCCGCTAGATGTCATTACACAAATGCCTATAATCCGCGATATATTCCCCGAAGTTGTTATGTAATATTGAGTACAGACACGCGGAGCAGAGCGAGTGACAAACGGTAACATGCTGGGAAAAAAGTTGTCACACTCATATGAACACAGCTCGGCTTTAACTCATTACACACCGACGACATCTTTTTGTGTCGTCGCTGCGAAAGACACAAAACGAAGCACGTTTCTTCCTGCTCTCTCTTTCTTTCTCTTCATTTTTTACCTGCTCTCTGTCGCTACCTTTCCTTCTCTTTCCACCCATTTAGGACCATGATGTTCTTCTTTTTGTCGTTCTCTGGCAAAAATTACGGGGCTCAACACAATGGAACCATTTCGCTGAAGTCGAATTCGCACCGCCGCAATTACACTAATTACACTTAATTGCAATCGCCAAAAACTCGATTCGATTGCGAATTCCGAAAAAGACTGTTCAACTTGTTTGCCGTTCTCGGAAAACTCTTATCGCCAGCAGTTCCAATATACGTACGCGCTTATCAATTCTTGCAAATTTTACTTTGTACACAAACCGCAAATATTGATATCGGAATATTACAGTTCAGCTTGTTTTCTGAGTAACAGCTGCGAACTTTCGCACAATAAAGCGTTACTTGTCATGTAACTTTTACTTGGAAACTTGTACATGTAAACTTTTAATAATGTCACTAATTTATAAATATACATACAAGTATACAATTATCTGTCAAACAACTACAGCAACATTTTTAGACTGATCGTTTCCATGATAGAAATGTACGACATTTCGAAGCTTATTTCAAAGAGAAATCTAATTGGAATTAGAATTGGTTATCATCTAAAAAATACCTATTTCAACCATTCTACATTCTTTTAAACCATGAAATAGTAATTTATAATAAATATACTTCTTCATATGTAAGAGTTGCAAAGGTTATTAGCATTTTATAAAGTCGTGTACATTGCATTTTAAATTGGCAATTAATTATGATAAACTGATGATTCAAAATTAATAGAAGATGGAGAAATCCATTAATGAATACAAAAATAAACAGTCCTGTGCAATGTAAGTAATTGAGCACATTTCATTGATAAATACAAGTACTTTATCAACTTGTACGTGATACTTGTCATCTAGTTTTCTTCAGGTGGGATGAAAACAATTTAACTGAAGAGGTATGATCATAAATATTAATAGGCAAGTTGCATTTCGTTGGAGCTGAGGAAAGAATTAACATTGCAAATCTACAAAAACCGGAAAACCGGAGAAGCTCGCCCATGCCATATTATGCAAATACATACATATGTTTCTACATGTGCACCGCGTTTTTTGTATTATTTAGCAATTAGTGTCCTCCTCCAGCCAAAGGGAGGAAAACAAAGGAACAAAAACAAAACACCGACGTGTCTTTAACCGCAGAAATTACACGGCATTATTTAAATTGAAAATTTAGGTGAAACAGACGCAGAGCATTTATGTAAATGCGATTGGCTGGCTGCTTGCACATGCACACACATGCATTCCGAGATTCTTGCGTGCTTCTTGTCGCCGGTTTCGCATTTTTTCCTCCATCCTTACACGTGTAAAATAAGGTTAATGCATTTGTGCATTGTCCCGGATTTGCGCCTTTTTTCTTTCTTTCTTGTATGTGTGTGCATTGTTTATGCTTGAGCCTCAACACCGTCCACTCTTGTGCAAAAGCATGTCTTAAAATATTTTCAAGTGATTAATGGAACTGCAACGCGATGCCAGACGTGCAGGACACCTAAACAAAAGGCATTTATGATTATAGCAGATCCCAGGAAAACGTCAACGCGAATGAGCGATATGCAAAAGAGAGAAGGTTGGAAAATAAATGGTCACCAAGCAATAATTGTGTCTACGCTTAGGGACAAGCAGTATACAACGAACAATATTGGACTCAATCCAAAAGAAATATGAAAATTGCTATAACCAAACGGACATGAAAGTAATAACAACCTCGGATTACATAACGCAATCAACATGAAAAAATAGCGGTGTAAACTATTTACTATTCTTAATTACACGTGCATGTTTTTTGTCTTCTCATAAATTAATCTAATTATAGAAGTGAAATATCTCAAGTTTTTTTTTGCATATGCGACTCTAATCACATGTTTCACTAATTAGTCTTGAGTCAATTATAATTTGTCTAATCATAATTTTAAACTAATTAAACTGTTATTACTTCAATGGAATCTAGTCAATATAACCATTATTTTCTAAATCGCATTATACAAGTTAATTTTAAACAAATATATTTTTTTGATACTCTGCATGAAGATAAAAAAAAAGTTAATTACAAGAAGCAAGCAAATTCCTTAAATATAAAGAAAAACAAAGAAAATAGTGTTTATGTGGTTGTTAGTTAATAAAGATATATTGTTTTGTTAATTGTTTGTGAAAGAAAAATTATAAAGAAAACAAACAAAAGATATTATTATTATTATTATTATTAAAATAGAAATTATTATTGTTTAATATATATTTATTAGTAAATACGTCAATACTTTGAGAATCAGCAAGCTGATTATTTTTGTAAGGATGAAAATTATGGATGTTTTAACAATTTGGCTGTCATTGAAACACATTAAAGAATATTGAAAGCAGCTTAAATCTCTGTAACATTCTGCTCCCGATGACTCATCAACGCAAGTGAAGCATATTTTCGGATAGTAATAACAATTGCATAA